GAGACAAAATTACGTAAGTTACGTATCAAAAAGCAATACTTATAAACTCTTCTTTAACACTGACGCAGTAAAAGCTTCGAGCCATATGACTAAGCAATTTTCTCTGCAGCCACCTTTCCCGAGAAATAACCTTCGTCTTCCCTCCTTTTTTCATTAAAGGTTTTTCCGTATTTTTTTGAAGATGACTTTCTTTTTGACTATTTGCTAATGTTGTCCTGGTATGGAGTGATGTTAAGATTTCATCTTACTATCCAGGATCTTCCCCTGTGCTCGCGATTGCAAATCCGTTGTTGGCCGAGCAAATAGTTCAGCTCAATAATCACCCGATGAGAGTGGACATTTCATACCGCTAATAAACAGTCCGTCGTTCAGGAAGAAAGGTCTAGGCTCAGCTGTAACCAGTCCATTGAGTTCTGTTCTTTGGCAACATACGTTAATCTCACAGCGTCCTTTCCATCCAGGGTGGGTGCTGGCCAATTTTCAGAAAAAAAAACTGACGAATACACTTCTTATACTTTGAAAGTAGCTATCCGTAACTTTAAAACTGATTATAAGGGTTTTTTTTTCCTTTGACTATTTGACCTTTTTTGTTTTGTTCTGTTTTTCTTTTCGGCTGGGGGTGTTGGACGATCTGTTGGAGACTACTGATCTCCCTTCCGTTCCCCCTTGAAAACTGTGCGATCCCACCAAATCCTCCTCCCACCCCTCCCTCCACCACATGAAGCGAAGAATGCCGACATGGCAGAGGCACACTAACATAGCAGAGGCCTTGTTTTAGTATATTATGGGTTTACAAGGAAATCTATCCCTTACAAAGAAACGAAGAACTACACTCGTAAAGTTTCATCTTTAAATTTCCAAGATAATGGAAGATGATCGTTTCAACGCGTTTCGTTTCAAATATTACAGCTCTTTCCATTTTGGTAAATGCAACATTATCAACTTTGTCATCCGTTCCCACGAACAAAAAAAAACTTTTTTTCCTGTGACACCCATGGAAAACCATATGACATAAAAATACAAGAAACCGGATGTTTATCGGTAAATATTAATTAGCAGTGCCCAGGTCACACTCAACTTCAACAAGGGTCAACCAACTTATTACTTGGTAAAACTTCTAATAAAATCAAAGTATCATGGTTAAGTTTTCTATCATTATCAGCGCCAATGAACAAATGCGTCACTGTTTGTCATAGCCCCGAAATTGACAAGATGGCAGATGGAAGGAACTTGACCCAGGACTTCTCGATTTAGCTTCAACATCATGAACTCGAACAGTGCTGTTCGTTTTGTAAGATCATGGGACAAAGAAGAATCTGAGCCCCGACCCTCCATAGAACCGGACGTTTTTAAATTCTGCTCCAATGCTACAAAACTGAGCTACAGCACAGACTTCAGGATAAGCCAAGCACATGCTAGGTTCGTGTTTTGCAAGTGCACACTGTTACAATCAGCAATGTCGAGATTGTCATGTTCGCAAACAGAGTGATTAAGGTGGGAAACTTTGCCTTCTAATCCCCTGCTTGTGTATAAGGGTCTGTCAGTTACAATAAGAAGTTTTCTCCTTTTCTTATTATGTACTGTCCCCTTCCCTAACACAGAACAAAAATGAACATCTTTTTAGAGTATTTTAATATATTTACACTTGATGTCAAGGCATGAATGCGTTAATAAGTTAATAAGTATACCGTTCGCTCACTCCAAAAGAAAAAAAAAGATTATCTCGATTGCATCCAAAATTTTCAATGATAAAAATTAATATTATGTCATCACACTTGGCTTGGGTTTGTTAATTCGTTGCATTGGTATTTCTCCCGCAAAACATTAACCATTGCACAGAAGCATCGAAACTGAATTAGGTGATCCGTGTGTTGAGAAGTTCTGCATAGTATGGTCAACCTTAGCGATAGTACCAGCGCAGTTAAAATGTCGATCTCTCCGTGTCTCAAACTGATGTTCGTCCAATCTAAAAGTATTGAACCTGCAATTAAAAGTGAGAGACACTTTTATTTCTAAATTACCCGTTGAAAGATGACAGGGAGAAGTTTGAAGAAAGTATAAAAAGTACCACTGAAGACGATACGCTATGACTGGTGAAAATGTGACCTTTAATATTGCGTAAGTCCCAATGAATGAATCTTGGCTCTTTTTGAATTTTTTTTATTTCCAGGAATAACCTTGTTTAAAAATATAAGGCTAAAAGGGTTTCCATTCACTGGCAAAAAATCTTCGTCTAGTTTTGATTTATCACTAACCCCTTTCAAATACTTAGCCTTTCAAATGCGACGAAAAAGATTCATTCTGTAACAGTTGTGACGAGGGTTGCAGCTTTACTTAAAGCTATAGCATGTCATTAAATTTTCAACCCCGAATGTTGCATTTCTAATGTTCTGATTGGTTTATTCAACTCCGGTTATCAGCTCATATTCCTAGTCATTTTACATGGAAATACATTGCACGGAGCTGAAAAAAGCTCCAAATATCCAAACGTTCGAGATTTAATTGAATTGAATAATTAACAATTATCTCATCAGACGCTTGTTCGATACGAAACTGGTGATACTCCACTCGACGCTACGCATTTCGTTGGCTAGTTACCATCTCATATCCAAAATGCACTAATGGTATGATTGTTACATATCCTAGTAACAAAAAGTATATGTTACTGACCATTTATTTTCAGTGTCTCCCTGATTACTGCCTGCCACATTCCACTCGTCTTCCAAAAATGTTATTTTGTACGCATCCATTTGTCTCCTGGCTTTCAGGGTGTTAGAGGTGCTTTCCTGTAGAAGATACGAAATAAATGAATTACACGCTTGAAAATATGCATGTCAAAATTACAGCACATCAATTAATTCCAAAAAGAACAGAAAGTGAAAGCTGACAATGGGATTTTAGGGTGTAGACTTCGTGTACATCGTCTCGTGCTTCAAGATCGCTGTCATCGCTCTTGCGTCTCGCGCTTAGGGAGGGAAATATCTCACCTCACGTGATGACTCAGAGGACTTCCTTTCGTGCCCATCTTTCAGTAACTCAGTCCTGCTGAACTGCC